TCAGAATGATATGCCCGGACAAATTTGGAATAGAAAAGCTTGTGATTCCCTATTTAGTGAAACTAAAAAAACAAGAGTCAACAACACTTGTGGCAAACCGAATCGGGTCAAACCAGTAAAAAATGGACAATTTGTAAAAAACTACGTTTGGTTAAACCGGTAGAACGCCTTAAAAATCAATAGAAACCGCTTATTTGACATCTAAAACCGGATTTTTACAAAAAAAAAAAAAAAAAAAACATAATAATTGTGTACAAGTGGATCTCTTTTATTTTAAAACAATTTGCAACTACCATTTACTACAATCACCGATGTGGGAGGAGTTGTATTGCTTTTACAAGTTTTTTATAACCTTTGACAATTCCTTTTTATAAAATCAAAAACTATAGCTGTTTATCTTTATCTTCGATGTGGGATAAATTTTGCCAAACATTAACTATTTTCTTTACAAATTTAACTATAAACATTCCATCATTTTTTATTTTTATTTTGTCTCGTACAATAAGGTATCTCTTTTTTGTTTTCTTTTTTCAAGATAGATCTTTTTTTTTGGGAGAATTTCATATATGCCCTTCTTAAACATCAAAATATCATATTTATCCAACTTAATTTCTAAATATCATATTTGCCCTTTATAAAATTTCTAAATATCATATTTATCCTTCATAAAGTTTCAAAATATCATATATGTCATTTTTAAACATCAAAATATCATATATACCCTTCTCAAATATCAAAATATCATATATGCACTTGTTAAACATCAAAATATCAGTGGTAATATCTAAAATATCCTTCATCTACAATATAATAATAATCAACAACAAAAAATAAACAATCAAAAATATATATTCCATAGAAATGGTTGAAGATGAATCTTTTTGTCTGTGAAGAGGCCGACATTCCAATAATTTAGAAGTTCACATTCCATTATCATAGACGTAAGGATAATATGATTAAATTTCTTAATTATTATAATAATTCTAAGGTATAAAAAATGATTATAAAATATTAATAACATTATAAAAAATGATTTGGGCAAATATGATATTTTGAAGGTTTATGAAGGGTAAATATGATATTGAGAAATTAAGCTGGGCAAATATGATATTTTGAAGTTTAAGAGGGACATATATGAAATTCTCCCTTTTTTTATGTATAAATAATAAATAAAATTTAAAAAGTAGGTGGGTCCTAGAACCCATACGGCATAGCTTTGTCCTTGAAGCAACATTAAGGTTGAACACAATTCCAAAAAGTTATATATTGGGGCACTATATTACTCGGTCAGATCATTTTACCCGTTTATGTATTTTTAAATTCAAGTTTCAGAATGAACATTCTTGAGAGAATGATCATTTTTCAAAATAATATTTTAAGTGGTTATTTAAAAAAATACCAAAAAATAATTAGATTAATTAATTTTGGATATTTCTAAAGTTTTCAAACGCTGTTTGGTATTAGGATTGAAGGTGTGGGTTGGATCTTAGGCTCAAATCTAATTTGTGGACCTCATTTTGCTTAATAACACAACCTTCTTTCAGTACTTCCAAATAAATAAAAAATAAAAAATAAAAAAGTATTGTACTGTTGTATTGACAAATATATTAAGCTGAAGGGAGTGGTGTCACCGAAACCGTACTCCATTCACGCCCAATAAGTGTTACCACATTTTTCTTTGTTTTTTCTTTTTGTTTTTTTAATAATTTAATTTAATAAAACTTATTTTTTTAATAAAAAAACATAATTTTTCATTACTTTAAAATAAAAATAAAAACATTACATTGCATTACTAAAAAAACATATGACATTAAAAAAAATCCTACAAACTTAAAAAACACACGTAAAAAATAACCTAAAATTCTTCAGAAGATGACATTTTCTATTAATTTTGAGAGAGAAAATAATATAGAAATGTAAAAGTTTGGTTTTGGTTTGAACAAATGAAATAGATGGTTTAATTTATAGGAAAGAAAAAAAATCTTACAATTTTTGACCGTTCAACGGTCAAATATACCATCCACCAATCAAATTACGCGGGCAAAAAGAGGTGAGGTGCGGCCTAACCGTACTCGAAACCGCATTGGGGGGGGGGGGGGGAGGTTCCCCTACCTATGTGGCAAAAAGTGCGGTAGAAACCACATCACTCCCTTGAGTCTTATGGTTTTTATGAAAGACAACAAACACGCTAAAATTCATGATGACTATGTTTGATACTAAGAAACTTGTGTATTATGCTCAAGTAACCTTATTCAATTAGTTAAGGCATAGGGGAATTTAACTGAAATAGTTGTTAAACGACGACGACAACAACAACAACAACTACAATAATAATAATAATGATAATAATAACTAGAAATGTTACCCCCGCTACGTGGGGGCCAGAAGCTTTCAATGTTGTTTCCGAATCAATAAATATGACAGACGTAGAAAGTGCAAAGATGAAAAGCTCGGAACAACAATCCAACAAATTACCAAAATTGCCCTTTTGCATAAAGGGTTTGCCACTACTATCAAAATAAGCACTTTCTATTTTAAAGTGCTCTATGTAAACCCTAAATACCCTAAGATTCATTCAACAACATCATGATTCACATTTTTAAATTAAAATACATTAAGGAAAAAAACAAAAAATTAATAATAATAATAATAATAATAATAATAATAATAAAATTGATTAGCAATAAAATGTAGGAAATCATTACTAAACGTTAATTTTTGCATTGCTGTTGATTTTAGGTTGCAATTGACTTTTGGGTGGCATGCCACCAACAACTTCACATAGGTTTAAATTAAGGTTACTTCTCATGGTTCTTCTCCAAATTTCACCATTACCCTTCCTCATTGTTGCAACAAATTCCCCATAATCAATTTGTCTGTCCTGCAACAATTAATAATAATTTATAATTTAATATAATTATAATAAATAATATTAGAAATAATAATACAATAGTTTAGTAAACAATTACAGTGAGCAAGAAAACAAAAGGAAAATGATGGATAGTTTAGTTATCTTATCATAATGTTTTCATTTTTCTAGAAAATCATCATAAAGACTTTAGAGGAAACAAGCTAGAACCTGAAAGTAGGATGGTAAAATCAGCGAATCAATGAAAGTAGGATGCTATAACCAACAAATCAAGGAAAATAAATGAAAGTATCTTGCATTCAGTCCAAACACTGTCATATACACATAGTGATTCAAAGACACACAATGAAATACTTTCTTTCATTTTTTACAATCCTACAATTCATCAAGATAAAAGATTTTAGGAAGTCTAAAAAACCACAAACAACAAAACAGACATTTACCTTGGACTTTAGCAAACACATGTCGAAGTATTGAAGTTATGGTATGATCAAACCTCTAGTGGCTTCTATTCAATCAGGGGGACCTGGGAGAGAGCCAGCCCGAAACGGTGGGGTTTTAACTAAACTTGCCCTCGACAAAGAATCGGTTCCCATACATGTTAACACAAAAGTGTTAGCCGACTTATTTTAGAATTTAGCAAAAAAAGAAAAGATTGCTAATTTATTTATTACTCGGGGAATCAAAATCCCCCAAGCAAATACAATATATCAATGATATACTCCACAAAGCTCAACAATGGAGCTACGATACAACAAAGTGCAAGATAAAAAAGGCTGAATTTTGTTCCCATGAACTCAATAAGTTGGCAATCGGCCCAAGTTCTTGCTAAATCCAAGATAAACAATAAGACAATTTTTTTTTTTAAAATTTTGTGATGTATATCCATCACAAAGTTTAAAGATTTAATCGATATACATCTCAAAGTCAAAGCTTTATTATGTATACCTACAAATATTCAAAGGAAAACATCAGTGTAGTGACTTGATAGATGACCACAGATGCATATATACCTTAAAAGATACAAAACAACCAATGTCCACATCAAAATGGAAGACCTGGTTTTCAACAGTGTCTCAAGTTTAATCCTGAGTTAATTAACAAAACAACAAAAACAATGTATTTGTTGATTATTGAAGTTGTTTAGAATGTTTCAATTTCTTATATTTGGAAGATGAATGATGTATTTGATGTGACCAATTCCTCTACCAAAAAAAAAAACAAATTTACTTAAAGCTTTTGACTAAAATGTAGCAACTTCATCATTCAAAAAATTATATACGTAATGGATGTTAGGTATCACGTATCATCGGTATAAGTCTGGTCGAGAATTCTTTTGTCAGTAACTATGAAAAGGCATGGGGTGGATGGATGGTGAGTCCTACTAGGTTTAACAACAATTTAACTAAAAAGTTAAAAATTTAATAATTAAGAGGATAATATCAGGAGCAACAATAAATTTATATTGAATTGTATGTACCACAATGTATTATTTATGAAAACTATTCTTTTTAAGGTGCGTAGCTATCTTCATTGAATATAGATACTAGGTTTAACAACAATTTAACAATAAAAAGTTACAAATTTAGTAAGTGAGAGGATAATATTGGGGCAACAACAAATTTATACTGAATTGTATCTAGCACATGTATTATTTATGAAAACTATTCTTTTTAAGGGGCGTAAGTAACTTCATGGAATATGGGTACTAGGCTTAACAACAATATTTAACAATAAAAAGTTAAAAATTTAATAGTTGATATGATAATATTGGGACAACAACAAATTTTTATTGAATTGTATGTACCACATATATTATTTATGAAAACTATTCTTTTTAAGGGGCGTAGCTACCTTCATGGAATATGGGTATTAGATTCTATCCTTTTTTTCTTAATAATACTACAAGGAATGTAAGAAAAAAAATGGAAACCTACCTTATCATTTTTAAAGAACATACCTTATAATCTTTGGCAAAAAAAAAATTATATCCCATATTTTATATATTCCAATCCACTTAATATAGCCCATTGCTTCAATCCATTTAAATTTAAACAAAAAAAAGCCTCATGAAACGTGATTGCTAATCGACATCTCCAAAAGCTTGACGCCTCATCATGTTCTTGTCGGCATGATCGACCGATTCCACATTCCCACTGTCCGCCGTCCGGCCAAGCCACCGGCTACCGCCCACTGTCGCCCCTTCGCCGAGCACCACTGCCTTTTGTCCTCTGTCCCTTTGCGCTTACCCCCTCCAGCAGCCCAACCTCTTGCTGCCTCTACTAGTATTTTGTACACTTTTATTTTTTTTAAATATAATGAATATGGTGCTCAAGGTAGAACTTATACCCCACCTTTAGATTCTCACATCTTTTCCACAAGAAAAAACACAGGTAAACAAATTATAGAAAATTCAATAAGCTTAATTCTATTGTATATTCAGAATTCCCCATGTTATGAAAACCTAATTGAATATGCACCTAGATTTTTGACTCTTTGGCGGTTGCATCATACCAACTGGGCTTTAAAATCCTATCAAACGAAATCTTTTGTGTGCTATGTCCATGACACCAATTGGTTCTTGGTTTAACTTTTATTATATAGTGGAAAAGATGTGAGCATTAAAGTTATATAAAGGGAACCCACAACCAAATACAACAAAATTTGTGTGGGTCTAGTGTGATATTACTAATCGTATAAGTCAAATTATTGGTCTTTAAAAGTATTTCAATATGAAGATCTGATTTCAAAATCAAAAAGTTGATTAGAAATTAAAGGGAAAATTCTTTTGTGATATAAATTCGGGTGGTGATTTTACACAAAGTTTTTGGAATTTCGGATTACCTGTAAATTAAATTTATATGTCTTCAATCTTTTAGTATGTACTTATTATTATAATGAAAAAACTTCATTTTAGCTGATTTTTTTTATATCAAAATCAGTAGACATCTCAAATAACAAAGAGAGCTAAAGATTTTTTTTTTCTTTTTTTTTTGAATGGATTTTTCAACAAATACAACATGCATAGTGCAAAATGACGTTTTAGAAAAGAGATAATGATTTAAAGAGATAATGTATTTTTCGATTTATAAATATTTAGTCACTGATTTTTTCTTGGTCCACATTAAACTTGTTTTTTATCCATATCTTACCATTATGACCGTTGATTTGGGTTTAGCCGATTTCCGATGGTCTTTTCATCTCCGGCAAGACTCTGGTCATCTTCTCTTATGAGTCTCCGGCCAACATGATTTTTCCGGCAAGTTGTAACACACACAAGTAAGGATTCGATTTTCAACTCAAGAACACACACACACATCACACCAAATTTCGATTTTCAAATAAAAAATACAAGAACACACACATCATATATGGGTATTTAAAATCGATTAGAGCATCCTGTTCTTGTTTGAGTTTTGAAAGCATGTGTGAGTTCTTGAACATAAATCGACGTGTGTTCTTGAAAAAAAAATCGATGTGTGTGTGTGTTTATATTCTTTCCAGAAATCAAATGATCTTCAAGGTTTGTAGATCTTCATCGTGTTCATCTTCTTCCTAGAAATCAAACGATCTCCAGAAGAGTTCGTGTATATGTGTTCATGCTCGAACATCAGATATGAGTTTTTGGAGCGATTTTCAGATCGGTGTGTTCATGCTCGATTTTGGAACACACACACACACACTTCTCTCTTCTCTCTTTTCTGAAGTCGGTTTTGGAACAACATAAACTGAAAACCATAAACTCCAGAACACCATCAACTTAAAATCTTAAACTCTAGAACTCGATTTTAATGGTGGCTTGGAGGTTGAAGATGATGAACAATAATACGATGTGTATGTATGTGTGTGTTCATCACATATCTGATGTATATATTGGACTTCTTTAGTTCATGAGAAAATAGAAAAAAGAGAGAGAATAAGAGAATAAAAACCTTAAATATGAAACATATATGATATGTATGTATGTGTGTTCATTTTTGTTTGTGTATGTTCTTGAATCTGGAATATATATGAAGTGTGTTAATCTTTGTTTTAAGAAAAGATTATGTTTCACCGGAAAAAACATGAACGTCAGAGGCTCGTCAACGAAGATGACCTCAGCCTCGCCAGCAGGGCCGGTCCGTTGTTTTTGCCTACCCAAGGCGAGATAATAAAATAATGCCCATATGGAATATGCCTGCTTCGTAAGACAAACCCAACTACCCGACACATATATAAACAGAATATAAACAAAAGTGTTTAAGACATTTATAAACAAAAACTTACAAAATCCAACTCTCACAAAATGAGTGTGAATGAAGTCTCATATGTATAACGAACAATTTTTAACATAATATGTGTACATATCATGATGATTTTACCGTTAAAGGTAACTATATATAATCAACAATACGATCAGTTGAACACTATCTACTTGTTTAACATATGACGGTAACAAAATCAAATTGAATCAACTGTGCGTAATCAAAAACATGTATTTTTCCTTCAGGAATTTAAAATAAATAGCCACTTAAGAATAAATGTTTCTAAACAAAAACTTTTCCAAACTAGTAACTATAGATGATGGACTCTTATGTCATCCTTTGAGCATCTTCGTTGGCAAGCTGCTGCAATTTCAAGAGAACGATATAAGATACAACAAGGAAACACCAAATCCATTCACATCAAATAAACATCAAAAGTTAGGAGTAAAAGAAGGATGCACAACATAACAACATCAAGTCATCAACGAAACGAAATGGTAAATAATATTATTTGCGTCCATATCAAATAACTAAAAGGTATACTTGTATTAAAATATAAGGTTATTTTCTAAATGACTATTAATTTCACATTTTGATAAATTTATTGACAAAACAATGTTTCTGGAAGGGTTACAAAGACTCTTTTAGAAGACATGAAATTTGCAGACAAAACCAAAATTAACCTGACAAATCAATGAAGAATTGAAGATACATAAACAATATCAAACTTCATATTGGCAGACAACATAAATTAACTTGGAACTATCGGAAAAGAAACAACTATGATCAAACTTTAACATCAATTTCCATATTCGATGATATAATAAATTAGAAATCAAAGATACATAATTCGAACTCCTATTATGCAACTCCTCCTGAAGCAAACAAAAAAAATACACCGTTTCAAGCAAACTACTGTAATCAAACAAATAAATATCAAATCAAAGATGCACCTTTAGAACATAAACTAATTAAATACCTCTTAACTGAAGCTTTCGAACTCCAAGACTCCAAATTTGAACTCGAACTCAAACAAATTGGGAATCATTGAATCAAAACTGTGATAAAAAAATAGTAGAATATGAGAATCAGAATTTCGAACCAGAAATAGGCAATTAACAATCTTAGTTCCAACTACAACCGACACAAATCACCACATTGAATATAAAAAATGAGAGAATAGGAGAAATCATAAATAGAAAACAAATTTAGATATAGTGATATACGGATTTAGTCGATTTAGAGATGTTTTTTCAAACTCCTCGATCTTCTACATCGTTCGTTATTCTAGGCATCGATTCGCAATCACCAGTCACAGATGTCGTCGTTTGAATTCTTTTCATCTTTACGCTGCTGGAGACAGAAGAAATCCCTAGGGGTGTTGCTAAATTGACACCCTTTAGACACCCTATAAATACTTTTATTAAAAGTCAACCTATAATAAACTATTTATATTTTACTTTTTCAAAAAACAATGCAAATTTAACCAATAAAAAAACCTTAAAAATCAAATAGGGTGTCCAAATGGAAAATTGGGATGTCTTTTTAGCCCACCCCAATCCCTAGGCTGGCTATCGGGCTCATTATTTTTGGGCCAAATGTATACTACTCTTTACTGGACTAAACTGATGCCCCTTTAAATTTGCTGCCCTGGGCTTTAGCCCATCTCGCCCAGGTATTGGGTCGGGCCTACTCGCCAGAGCTATCAAATACGTTGGAAACCGGCGAAACCTATGATTGCAAGTCATAAGGATGTTTTTGAATTAATTTAAAAAAGTTCAATGAGAAAACATGGACAAAAGAACTTAGTGATTATGTAACACATAAAATTTTTGAAAATTTTAAACTTTTTAAATAAACACAAAACCATCATTCATTACAATATGTTTTCAAAATGAGTTTCACATAAGAGTTTTCCCAGAAATCATAATACAAAACATGAGGAGGTGCACGATCAAACTTTTGTCTTCCTGCGATCATCTGAAGTACCTGAAACATAACCAAAAACTGTAAGCCCAAAGCTTAGTGAGTCTTCCCCAAAATACCACTACATAAACATAACTAATCAACAACATGCACATATGAGCTTTCAGCCTGACTGGACCGTCTCGCAAGACCTTCAGCCTATCTGGACCGCTCCCGAGCCTTCAACATGATTGGAACGCCTCGCAGGGCCTACAACCTATCCGGACCGTTCGTCGGCCATTCGGCCTGACTAGACCGCCTCGTAGGCATTCAGTCTATTCGGACCTCCCTGGGTTTGTTGGCCTATAACACAAAGCAGGACCACTTTAACCCAACCACACACACATGTCGACATATGCATAACCCATAAATACATAGTCGATTAACAGGCAAGCACAAATCATACAGATCAATAAGCGTAGCATCATCCTATCTATCAGGATAAGGCACATATCACAATATTGTCCGCTTTGGGATCCCGACACGAAAACTTCCCATGGGGTCACCCATCCCTGGGTTGTTCTCGCCCGGGCACGCTTAACTGCAAAGTTCTTATGGGATTTTCTGCCCTCACGACTTTAAAACGCATTGTAACAAGGAAGGTATCCACACCCCTTATAAGGAAATATTTTGTTCTCTTTCCAAGCCGATGTAGGATCAGGTGCAACCCACCTTCACCCCCCCCCCCCCCCAATTATAAGGTTCGACGTCTCCATCGAAATATTTTGTTCTCTTTCCAAGCCGATGTGGGATTAGGTGACCTTTATCACATATGATTCTGATCAAGTCATCCTACTTGAAACAACTTGTAGCATTGTAATTAATCAGTGACAAGGTGACCTTTTAGAAACCAAAAACTACAAAACTACCCCGAACATCATAATCCAATCCTAGTGATCATGTGACCTTGTGACACTAAGACCATACAAATGATAACGAGTGTTCTTCAAAAGGACGGCAATGACTTGCATTTTTAGAAAATGTTTTATATATGTTTTACAATTATAATTTATAAAAAACATGGTCTCATGAATATTACATGCATTCAACAATTCATGTACCTTTTTGTAAAATTCGTATCCCTTGTTATGAGGTTCTTTAGGTGCCAAATAAAACTTCATTTTATTTGCCATTAGCCGCGATCAATTATAAACTAAATCGAATATTTTATAGTTTAGTCGTATATTAGTTTTAAGAACCGGTAATAGTCTTAATAAAACTTCATTTTATACTTAATACTTGGAGTTTTTGATAAGTTATAAAAACACTATTTTAAATTTCCTTTTAACAATAAAAAACTTATGACTTCATGAATTGACAAAATAAACTCATTTTTATTTTATAGACTTAATTTTATGCATCTTATGATAAAAGTCATATTTTCATAAACCAAAACTTGGATGATGATACTTATTTTTAAATCTCATTTAGCATGCATAAAACATAATATCAACATGTTGCGTGATGTTTAAAACAATAATATCATATATTAAGTTCCGATGCAAAAATAATCACTAGTTTTATTATTTGTCGTTATAATGCTATAAATCGATTTTAGTCTTTTTAATAAAAACTCATTTTTTTATTATAAAGATATGGAGTTTATATAATGTTTAAACATCTTTTAAACTATTTAAAATATTTTAAAGTTTGGTATTTATAAGTTTTACAATAAAACTATTTTCAATAAAAAATGATTCCAGTAAAAACGTTTTTATAAATGTTCATTTACAAATATCTTATGTTATCTTTTAAATATTTTTTACTCAAACTCCAAGTGATTTATCTTATTTTAAAATGTTTTTTGACATGTAAAACTCATTTTAATACACAAAACATAACATACAATAACACGAAATAATCATCACATGTATGTATTATAATGTGTATAAACCAAGCCATGTCTAGTAATAATTTTTGTGAGCCATCGCAAGAGTTATTAAGTCTTTCCTAAAGAACTTAAGGGACACTTCAAAAGGTCTTCAAGCTCCCGCTTGCCAAGTTAACTCTTGCTTGCAAAAGAACTTCAAATATTTATGTTGTGAAAGTTGCAACACTTAAACCATTAAGACTACAATTAACTCCAAAACCAAAAGTAGAAGCTTATGGTTGGGATTATGATCTTAAATGGCTAAGTCATCTTCAAGGTGATCATTTCTTCATCTTATAAAATTTTAAAATAAATACAACTAGTCTAACTAATTTATTATATCAAATCAACAAATGAATATATATATATATATATATATATATATATATATATATATATATATATATATTACATCTTATGAATAAATATCAACCAAACACAACACAGAGGTCCAATTGACTTGTTTATACATGACAACATATTAAATATTATACCAAACACCTCTTTATTTTTTCTAAGACAACTTTTATATTACCAAAATGTATGAAAAGTGGTTATATATAAAAATAAACAATTTTAACCAAGAAGTTGCCAAAGAAGACAAATATGTATTTTTCTTAACAAAAGGAATCCATGCTTGTTTTCCAAAAACCAAAGATTATCAAACATAAAAAAATCATTCTAACATATAAAAGATTGCTCTGATTCCCTGATGGGTTTTCATACAAAATATAAGTTTATTTTTTACAAAAAAAACGGCAACAGAAGACTTTAAAAATAACAAGTTTATTTTAGTTCGTAACAAAACCAAATCATCATGGATCCATTTATAAATGTTAGAATGAAATAAAAACAACTATAGGATGTTTTAGAGATAACATTTAAAGCCTTTGAACCCACTTGGTTTTGGGGTGTTGATGAAGATAGCAAAAATCAAAGAATATGATTTCTCTACAAGTATCCACCATCAAGATTAAGGCACTTGGAATACTAGTTCCTTCTTGTATAAAGTAATTCTTAAGCCTTTAAGTACTTAACTCAAATAAGCACTAAAGGAGAAACACTTTAAGCCACCAAAGACTTGAATGATCTTCAAAAGAAAGCAAGATAAGTAACACTTTGCTACTTATGATTTTGGTGAGAAGAAAGGAAGAAGAAGAGAGTGTTTCACTTAACAAACATGCAAGCCTCATGCATCTCTTATATAGTCCATGCAAAGTAAGACATTTTGATTAAAATACTCTAAAGTATTTCTAGCATTTAGAAGCATGGGAGACAAAGCATGAAGGTTGACAAGCAACCCCCATATTTTAATATTTTTGGTCATAGCTCTTGACAAGAGGAGGATTCTTTAATTTTTATAAACTCTAAGTTTATAAAATTTAAACTTTATCTTTAGGTAAAAGAAAAAAGAACCCAACTAGTCTAAAATATTGTTCATGACTTATTAATTCATACCATATGAAATAATAACTAGTTATACTCTCTTATAATTATCATTTTCACAAAACAATAATTATTCCCTAATTAAATACAAGAATTGATATTATTTATTAATAATCACATTAATAATAAATATAAAAAATGTGCAAACTTGATAAAGGAGTGACCCTATAGTATCATATATTATTAGCAATATCACTCGATAATCATTCTTGGACATACAGATTCAACAATTGCATCCACCAACCTTCTTTTCTTCGCAGAGATAGGTAATTGATCAATAACCATGAACAAATCCTTCCTGTACCTAGACCTGGCAATTCGAAACACGAATACACGAATATGTGAAAGACACGACACGATACAAATACATCTTGAAAATTGATATAAAGCTTATTTCTAATCGTGTAATCGTATCGTGTCAAATTCGTGGTTAACACGTTTCCATGACACGAATACACGAATTGCCAGATCTACTTGTACCCACCAGATGATAATGAATATCCAAACATTTAGAAATTGCATCCCAAGTTCTTCTCGCAACTTCACATTTAAGAAATAGATTATCTAATTGTCCAACCTCCATATCACATAAATAACTCATAATCGATGCAACATCTACCCCCAATTTTGAGAGATTAAAAAAATCGGGACTCTATATCTCAAAACACGCCAAATCAAAATATTAACCTTCCTAGGAAGAAAATCATTCCATTTAATCTCCATGTTAGAATTAGAAAGGATAATCTTGTCAATCCATCTTTTAGTGGCACTCATCGTTAAACTACCATCCTCTCTAATCATCCACATCCATCTATCCCTTTATTCATTAAAATGAACCTCCATTAAGCAATTTATCAAGTCCAAATATTGTGACATTTCAGTACTACCTCTAATGGGACACCTCTAATTCCAATTCCAACCACCATCACCTCTATGACTAGCTATGGTACACTCTTTATCATCTTCAGGCCAAAAAAGTATAGGAAAACAAGTAGCTAGATTACTTTCACCACCCAATTTTGCTTCCAGAACAAGGTATTCATGCCATTCCCAACACTCCTATGTGGAAACGAATTTAACACACTATCCTTTTCATTTAGACGATAGTTTGAGGCAATAACCCTACACCATGGACTACCCCCAAAACGATTACACCCAGTGGCGAATCTAGATGAAGCGTTGGGGGTACTACAGTACCCCCAAAAAATTATATTATATATATAAAGAATATTATTTATAAACATTTTTCATGTTATTGTACCCCAAACTAAAGAGATTATAACATGTTTTTAATGCCCAATACTGGATAACAACATATAATATATATCGACAATGTTTGTACCCACATATCAAAATTTCTGGTTCCGCCACTGATTACACCTGGTTTGTTTGAAACCTCCATATTCACCATAATTTTTTTTAATCACTTGAAGCCATAACACATTCTCTTCAGTATGAAAAGGCCAACACCATTTCTGAAGTAAAGAAAATTTAATAGAAACCAAACTACCGATATCCAACCCACCATGAGTCTTATCAGCCAACACTTGATCCCAATTGATCCAATGCAATTTTCGATTATCCTTAGGTCCACCACAAGAAATTGACTTCTTAGAGCTTCCAATTTTTTTTGCAACTTTGACCTGCATTAAGAACAAAGACATAAAATAAGTACCCATGGATCCGAACACCAACTTCAAGAACATTGACCTACCATTAATATTTATAACACATTAAACTTAATAAGCTATACAAAATATTATTTTTTGACTTTGTTCGGTAATTTTTTTGTTCTCTCTCTCTCTCTCTCTCTCTCTATATATATATATATATATATATATATATATATATATATATATATATATATATATATATATATATATATATATATATATATATATATATCGTAACCATCACCTTTGTTTTTCTCCTTTTCTTTCCTTTTTTAAACCTATAACTAAAAACACATAGGAACTTAGGTAACATTTTTTTCCTCTAATTACCAAAAAAGTTATAACCTTTTAACTCTTTGGAGGAAAATGGACTTATAGAGCATAAACTTATCACTAATCACCATAATTTATATGTTATAGTTGAGCCATTTAAAGTCAAAAACAACATATTCAAATCAAAATTTGTGCTAGATGTGATCTCATAAACTAGGTATCATTGATCATGTGTTTTTTTGCAAGTGAATCTACCAAATTAAAAGCTAATTTTGTAAATGTACAAACGTACTCAAATTCAAAGGCATTTAGGCAAAAAGTGCATATTTGCATGAAGCAAATAAACCAATAAGATCAACCTAGCCTCGAATCATCACAACACATGAATAATCAACACAACTAGTCACAAAATTCAACAAACAAACTATAAATTTGAAAGAATTTGAAGACCAATGCATACGATTCTCCACGAGATGAACCAAAAGGCCGCTTACTTTGAGAGTTACTAAATGCATGATCTCACAATCGTTTCATATTTGCAAGATCAAACTATAAATTAAGATTGTTTAAAGATAAGTGTAAACTACAAACAAATTCCAAATATAACACTGACTATATATGTTTTATAATATGAATAAATTATAACAAGTGTTTGTAAGAAATATTATTGCTTAAATATGACTGTTTTTCATAGTCCTCCTACCATAACCCGCATAGAAAGCCTCCATATTTTGATTGGTGACCCATATTCATATTGATTATGAAAAAAAAAGAATATGAAGAATATTAAGAAAGTACAAACAATAATGAGTATGTTACAAGCTATTAAATGGAACAAGAATGAAAGATTGTCTGCGATTTGGGATCAAATTTGGTCTTTCTCATTCCCGATTTGGTCTTCGATATAGTCTGAACATTTGGTCTTCAATTTGGACTATCATTCCTAATTTCATTCGAGATATTGTCATTCGGCTTGCACATTTGGTTATCGGACAATTTTCATGGTTATTAGAATTGGGCGATGTTTGGGGGGTTGTTGAAGATACTAGATTTGACGCAAATGGTGGTGACATTCGTGGCAGAGTAATGGGTGTCAATGTTAGAGATACTAGTAGACAACGATGGAGTTTAACTGATCGATGATTACGAGGAGTTGGTTGTTAGGGACGGAGATGACAACTTTTGACGCTCTGCTTGGGATACTTATTACAAATATGCATCCAATGAATCTGTAAACTAGACACAAATTAAAGAAACGCCTAACTCGGAGAGAAAAATGTCAAATCAACACCGAACCTTTTATTTTCGGCAACAATAGTATTTTTGAATACTTTTACAAGTTTAAAGGTGTAATATACAAGAATTTTTTTTATTATATATTCTGAAAAAATAAATAAATAAATACTTTTTTACCATTCTTAAGTCATTTTTCCAAATTAAAATTTTCAAAATTTTGTACATATCCAAATTTCACATATAAATTCTTATATCAAAATTCAATGTCCAAAATTTGAAAAACTTGCCATCAAAAGTCTATTCAGAAAATCAAATATCCAATACTATTCTTAAATACGTATCTTTTTAAACACTTCTCAACCCAAATGTCAATTTCATCGAAATTGTTGATTAGTCCATACTCTATCACCTTCAATGTTGGGGTGGACTCAATTTTCATTTTCATTGCACCTTGAATTCTTGAAATAACCTCCACCGCAATTATCTACAGTGAATAACAACTCCCTGGTACCCACCACACCAGAGTTAGTACCCCGTCTTACTTTTTGAGTTAACAAAGAAAAGAAACAAGAACATCAGCACCCAACTACTCTTTCATAATATCATTCTAATTTCTACAGTCTTGGTGATATATTTTAGACAAATGGGTTTTTTCTGGTTCTCAAATTGACTTCTGAATTTCTTTCTTGTTGAAACAACTACTTTATTTATGTTCAATCGGTTGTTAAGCTCTCGTTTTCCTTTCTCAATCGGTAGTTTAGGGCTGTTGTTTGACTCCACTCGAAGCAACGATATCTTTCACTCTTCCTTCAGAGTTATATCTATGTTTCGGTTGTGAGAATTTCATCTTCCACTTCGCCCGATTGTAAAATAGCTGAGTCGTGATTGGGTATTTTGTGATCAGAGAAGACTTGGGGTTTATGGGGTTGAAGGTGAAAGAATTTAGGGTTTTCTTCGGGTTGTTGTGGTTTGTCCTGTCAAATTTTCAGCCGGTTGCAGGATTAAGACCTCTCAGGGAGAGAGCTCGTTCATGGGGTGATGAGGTTAGTTTATATCTTGCATATAATTCCTTTTAAACTTAGTTTTATCATTTATGTTAAGCAGACTTACAAGTTCTATTAATTTACATGAATATTGAACTTTGCTATTCTTCTTAATTTTCTTTGTAAACTTTGAAACGAGTATGTCTGTTGAATCTTTTGAGGAAAATTTTCCCGCTACATTGCAATTTGGGGAAAGTGCTAGAGAGAAAAATGTTGAAGTAGTAGACTAGATGTAAAGAAATGCAACACTTTCTATGTGATGAGGGAGTATTTTGAGTTAGTCAACTGGAAGCAAAACCTCAAGATATAAATGGGAACATTCTTTTTGAGTCTAGATGTAAAGAATGCAGCACTTAATGAGAACATTCTTTTTGACTTAACGCAGAAAGAACAGACTTAATAGAAATTCCACATTGTTAGGATAAAACATGATTTTGAGATACCAAATTGGTGTTTCTTTTTTTTACTTAATGCAAAAAGAGCAACTCAATAGAGAAAGTCAGAGGTCTGTAGTGTAAATTACTTATTTATAACTGGGACACTTGATGACAAAAAAAGAACTCAAGTTTGAGTAAAATCTGATTAAAACCTGTATGCTTCTTTCAGTGGCTTGTTGCAAGGAAAGATGAGAATGAAGTGGGCCCATTCTCTGCATGGAATATAACTGGGACATACAGAGGTCTGTAAATTAGTTCTAATATTTGGTTGTTATCACCTTGTTACCTCTTCTAGGTTTCAAGATCTTAAGAAACTATTTCTGTTTTTTTGTGTTATATAGTTAATTCACTCTGTAATTGTATTTGGAAATGATGTTGTAGTTCTTTGGGTTGTGTAATAATGTCAGGAGCTTGGAAATTCATCCAGTCTTCAAATACCTCTTCCAGGTTTCCAGATTTTAAGAAATCAAGTGGAAATTCTGTATTGGAGTTGATGACTAGGCCAACTAAAATAAATGGTGTACATTATGTTCAGGTAAGGTGTTAATTACTCTGATCATGTTATCATTCAGTGCTACATTGATAAATGATCGAAAAGTATTTGAGAAAATAACATCACACTTAGGAAAAATGGAAAGAAAAAACAACTTTTTCTTTTAGCAAATCTGTAAAAAGTTAGGATTTAATGGAGAAAGCCTTACTTCCTGATTTTCTCTCTATAAAGTCTGATTATAAAAATTATATTCCTAATAATGATTTATGACAGGGTGTAATGATTTTCCATGATGTGTTTGATAATGAGCCAGAAGTTGGTCGTGTCCAAATTAGGGTAGAAGGGGTATACATATGGCCATTCAGACAACTTCGAATGGTAGCTAACAGGTATTAAATATCTTCAGATTATCTTATTTTCTATACAACTTTATATTTAAAATATGTTGATGGAATATCTTTATGAGATTAAATAAATACATGTATGATAATTTTGACTTACAGTGGAAGAGAGGGAGAGTTTGGTCAAGAAGAGGATTATATCTTATCCAACCCCTACCACTTGGTAATCCTTATTGCATCTTCATATTATAATACTCTATCTGTATTTGTTCTTTCTGCATAATGTGTAAAAAAGAAATCACATTGTTAGTTTCTTAAATTTTAATAGTAAATTGATGTTACTAATCTAAATCTTTAATGCCTTTTCAGCTTGGAGTTTTCTCATCACAAGTATTTCAGGAGTCTCCACGAGATAAGATCTGGAAGAGCAAACAATGTAGTTTTTCCTCCCACACTTTTTTTGTTATTTTTTTTTTTTTAATTAAGTTTAATGTAATTGTATAAAATTTGTTCTTTCAGCCCCAATTAGTGACATGGACAAGCATTGTAATGTTGAAATCTCTGCTCAAATTTCTCGTGTCTCATCCACCCAAAGTGGTATTCTCATCTCTATATTCGATTCTTTTCTTTAACTATATTTTTCTTCTGTATACAATATCTATAGAGAGAGAGATTGAAGCCATTTTTGAATTGTTTGTGGTAGATGGAGAGCATGATCGTTATTACTTGGAAGGGTTAATGGAGAGCCCTTCTGCTGATGATGATGGAGATTGCTTCTCACCCATGTTAATGAATGCTACTTCAGTCAACATTGAGGTTTACTATAACAAAGCAGTGAATTACACTTTAATGGTGACCTTTGTATCCTTCAAGTCATCTCTCCCTTGTTGATTTTAAATAAATTGATGCTAGATAAAATATCTTGCACTTGGGTGGGTGGTGTTTCTTTTTGACTTAATGAAATACATCAATGTTATTATTCTTATCAGTTGTGAATGATCAACTGCTTTATTGTTGCTCCTTAAACTTTTTGGTGTATCAGATTTCTTTTCTTCAGGTTCTTTTGTTAATTCGGCAAATGGAGCATAGTAATACACAATCTGTAAGATCTTTCCCAATAAACTGTACTTGTACACTAATATTCAAATAAATTAAAGATGATTAATTCTTTGAGAAGATGAGATACCAATGTGGATTCTAAAATCTCCTGCAGGGGGCTGCAAAAGTATCGATTTTGATGATTGGACAGCAGGCTATCATGGATGCTTATCTTTGTCTTTTACATTTGACTGCAGGGATATTAGTTGGTAAGAATAAGATATATATATATATATATATATATATATATATATATATATATATATATATATATATATAATACTTCTTTTGACATTGTTTGCCAACTTATGGAGATGTGATGAGTTTGTGTTTTTTTTTTTGGGGGGATTGCAGAGTCACTATTTAATGCTTTTGCTACAGCTGCATTTTTTAAGTTTGTGGTGTTCTCCATCTTTGAGATGAGGTATCTTCTTGCCATATGGAAGGCAGGTAGGTCTGCAAATAATGGAGAGGGTTGGGAAGCTATGAGGCGTGAACTTTCAGTTCTTTACAGTCGATTCTGTAAGTTTTTTAAATCATCATCATCTTCTCTGTTTGTTTTGTTTGATTACAAGTTTAAATTTACATATTTGCCCATTATCATTGTCATTGTTCTAAAAAGTTTAAGCAGAAGATGTATTTGCTTTGCAGATGGAATCCTTTTAGGTGGAATTTTGATCATGTATGAGTTCCATAGATATCTAAGGCCGATACTCCTTGTTTTGCATTCGTTTTGGATTCCACAAATTGTGACTAACATTGTGAGTGATTCAAGAAAACCGTTGCATCCTCATTATATAATTGGAATGTCTTTGACTCGGCTTGCAATTCCACTCTATGTGTTTGGGTGTCCTCATAACTTCATGCGAATTGAACCCGATAAAAACTGGTGTATTACTTTGGGTGTTCTTGTCAGTTTCCAGGCTGCAGTTCTCATTCTACAACACTATCTTGGATCCAGATGCTTTATTCCTCGACAGGTTTGTTTGTTGCTTTTTTTCTTTTATTTAACAAAATACTAAAAGGGCGTGTTTGGTTGGAATCCGAGATTCCATTCTGTCTTGGATCTTGATGCTTTGAGATTACAATTCCTTAGAAAAATGTGTAGTGTGTAGAGTTATAACTACACATTGTTTCTACATATAATATAAACAAAGTTCATTCCATTCCTAGAGTCCAACAACCATCATGAGATGTAATGACTCATTTTATTACCTTGCTTATTTCAACCCATTCCATTCCGTTCCTTCATCATTCCATTCCATCCAACCAAGCAATCCCTTTTTTGACTTAATTGTCTTTGCTTTGACTGACTCTGATCTTGTAAAATTTGATGTATTAATGCAGATTTTGCCCGAGAAATATTGTTATTTTAGAAAAGTTGATCAGGATTCGACTCATGCTACCGATTGTGTCATTTGCATGACTGCTATTGATCTGACTCAGAATTCAAATGATTGCATGGTATTTAACGGAAAATAAAATATAGAGGACAATTTCAACTCATTTATGTAGAAATCAGTCGGTCGATTTGGCTTAATATCTTTAGGGTTAAATGCAAGAAGTAACAACATACTTTCATTAATTTGTATATTCTAGCATCCTACTTTTATTTCTTCCTATTACAACATTCTACATTGAAAATATACACAGATATAGCCAAAATTATGTCCTAATAAGAAAAAAAAATGTAAGTACAATGCTATAATTGGGTAGATTTTTCAAAGTACAAAGTCTTGATATGAAAAACTTTGAAAATACAATGCTATAATAGAAAGAAATAAAAGTAGGATGCAACGACATACAAGTAAGAAAAAAAAGTACATTGCTATTTCTTGCATTTAGGCCTGGCCTACATTTAATTGGTAACCAGTCACAAAATTGATGTAAATAGGAAATGGAAACTGCTTTATCTATTTTAATGATGATTTACTTTTGATATAGGTTACTCCATGTGATCATTTTTTCCACTCGGGATGTTTACAAAGATGGATGGATATAAAAATGGAGTGCCCAACATGTCGGCGTTCACTTCCACCTGCTTAAAATTTTATAATATGGACATATCATTACCACTCTGCTCATGGTAACCTGCTTTGCTCTTTTTACTTTTTACCCTTTATACTACAATTTACAAATACAATGCTTCAACTGAAAATAGGATGCTATAAAGCACAAATAAATGAGAAATGCATGGCCATTCCTATCGTATTTGTATTTAACTGCCTCTGTCTCATGAAAGTTGCAACATTTGATCTGCAACATAGTTAGGAACTATTTGGCAAAATAAATAAATCTTGTGGATTTGGAAATTTAGCATCAATTTATTCATATCTACCTGAATTGCTTACTGATAAACAAATGAAGTCATATCTATTTAAAATTTTAAAAGTATGCTATGTTTGACATTAAAAGGTCAAGGGTTAGATGAAAGAAGTAGCAACATACTCCTATTTATTTGTTTGTTATAGCTTTGTACTTGAAAAAACCTATCCAATTTTAGAAATGTCATCCCAATACAAAGCAATTGTTAGGTTAGATTTTTCAAAAGTACAATCTGCTATTTAGGAAAATCTTTTTGGGTACATTTATTTAGGTACAATGCTGTAATAGAAAAAAAATGAAAGTAGCATTCTATATTTGTTGCATTTAGCCCTCTTATTATCCATTTTGATTGGGACATTTCATAATTCATACACCATTATTTCCTATTTGTGTATTGTTATGACCCAAGTGCTTATTGTGCAACAACTAAATTCATATATATTTGAAACTAGATGTACCATGTTTGACATTAGCAAGTCAAAGGCTAACTGCAGAAATAGCAATGTACTTTTTATAGCATCATACTTTCATTTCATATTAAAACATTACAGTGCTATAAACCAGATAGATTCTCCGAAGTATAATGTCTTAGTAAGAAAAAAAGTTAAAAATTATGGTTTTGTATTTTGGAAAAAATATATCAAGTTATAGCAGTGTCATCCAACAAAGCAAAGTTTTTTTGACTTCATAAACCTAATTGTATTCGCCATGTACTTTTTGACTGCAGGTTGATCATGGATGTTGAATTGCAGCCAAGAGGATATTAGCCTAAAGTGGACTTTTGTAGAAAGTAAAAAGAAGAAGGGTGAGAGGGGTAGGCTGCATAAAAACTGTATATTGTACATTATGTAACTCATTTCAAAACTTCCCGAATTTATTCCTCACAAATATTGACCTGAGAAACCACATTCCAAGATACTAATCTGCAAGCATGTTTATTAAAGATCAGATGTATATACAAATGTACACATTGGAAATAACTTCAGTTTCTTGATTTTGTATCTTTTCAATATCTGGTTTGTGGTTTTAGTTGTCGTTATTCAGTATGTATGGGTAACAAATTGTAAGTATATGTAGATATGTGTTACATAAACTACATTGCTTGTATTGATAAAAAGAGAAATATATCGGTATTACATGCAGTTTGTTTGGAAAAAGGATGTTAACAAGCATTTAACCCCCTCCTTTTTTTTTTTTATAAGTTTAAACAAATACAAGTACCCATATCATTTAGTTATAGTTTTAACTTTTAAAGAGACAATGTGGGTGGCAACTAAGATGAACACATTGAAATCCTTTGCTTTGCTAATGATTGCTTTAGTTGTTTTATCAACTGAGGGTTTGAGCACATGTAGTCTTGAAATGACGTCTTTAAGTTTCCCAATATCTTCAAATGCTCCTCTTCAGGATCATGGTTAAGCAAATCCTCAAATAGTTTCTTCCAAAGTTCCACTTTTTGGTATCTGTAAAAAACAATAACCATCAACAAAAGCTCGTGAACCTACTTTCAACATAAGAAGCAGCAAATGTCTAGAAAAAAAAAAAAATACCGTTTGAAAGGCAATTTAGGTTGATATGAAAAGCCACCATCTTGAGATGCTTTCTTCTCTATCTCCATATATGAATTATGAAGCATCATATGTACAATCACACAAAGTCCATAAGTATCAACCTACCAAACACTCAAACAACAAAATCAAGTCAATAATCTTTTTTTTTTGGATAATTACAGATGGATTGAGATACTTCTACCTGATATGTCCATGGTTTATTCTCTTGCATTTGAATACAACGGAATCCAGAAGTTCTACAATCTCCATTGAACCTTATCTTGTTGGGAAATAGGTGCAGGTCTATTCCTCTACCCCAGTCAACAAGGCAAAGTCCCTGCCAAAATGGAATTAACAATTATACTAAAACAAAATAGTGTTTAATATAATTTATAAATATTTATCCAAAATGTCATATGCTAACTTGTTCACGCCAAGGACCACTTCTGCTGCGAAAACCATCTTCTGTTAGATTCTCCCTGCAAACACGTTGTCATTCGAATCCTTAGGAATTCAATTCCATTTCATTAACAATTTTGGTTGCAAATGACTACAGAATTCACAAAATCCTACGAGTGATGGAATTCTTCAGTTTTGTAATTCCTTGTTGTCGTGTGTGGATAACTGGATATATTTATGTTTACTAGTATGTAAAATATACTTTCTGTTCAAACATACTTGTAAAAAGTTCCATGAACAAGAAGTCAATACAAGGGTAGTTAAATATTTTTACAAGTATTTAGAAAAAATTCATGAGCAAAAGTCAATAAAGGGCCATTCTGTCATTTGTGGGATGGAATTGAACTGCATGAGTCTATCAGATTCCAATTACTTACGGAAAAAAAACAACTAATATTGTACAACTTTTTTTTAATATTACCTAGCATTGCGCATCAAGAGATTATCAGGCTTGAAATCACCATGAATAATACCATTAGCATGCAAACTTTGAAGCATGGACAGCATCTCAATTGTGTAATGTATACACAAAACTTCATCCATGGAGGCACCCGTACACACATTGGTATTAATGGCATCCTACAAAATTTTCTCAATAATTGTGAATAAAAAGATTAAATGCATGAAATACCAATGTACTTTCATTGTTTTTTATTTTACATTTATTATTATAGCAATGTTTGAAAAATCTTCTCAATTATACAAAACAATTTTTAATGCTATATTTAGGTGTATTTTTTGAAAGGACAATGTCCTAATAAGAGAATTTGAAAGTACAAAAACTGAAAGTACAATGATGTAATAGAGAAAATGAATGTAAAGATGCTATAATATGCACAAATGAAAGCACGTTGTTGTTCCTTGCATTTAACCCTGCAAATGGATATAAACTACAGATTTTTCTAAACTCACCTGAAGTGTTCCATGAGATAAAAAATCTGAAACAAGAATGCTGTAGTCTGAATATAGGTGCAATTTATGAGCATATCCAAAAGACAATCTCTGTAAAGAACAACTGAAGTTAAGCAGCAGTTGCTTACCCAAATGATAAATAAAGATGATTAAACACAACATACTTTCATTAGTTTGTTTATTATAGCATCCTACTTCCATTTTCTTCCTAATACAACATTATATTTTAAAAAATCTAACCAATTATATCCAAATGCAAAGCAGTTTTCACTGCAATAATTGGGTAGATTTTTCACAATATAATGTCTTAATAAGAAAAAAATTGGAAGTAACAAAAAAGAAACGGAAGTAAGATGCTATAATACACAAACAAATCAGAGTACATTGCTATTTGCATTTACTCATAAATAATAACAAAAAAAATGAGCATGTACTTCATTTTCTGGGATCCTCTTATCAAGTTGGCGATACATGTGGAATTCCCATGGGAATGGAGGCTTTTGAATCTGCAAGACTCTTAAATGTTAGAGATCATTCCTCAAAGTCTAGTTATGGAAAAAAAAAATTAACTACTGTATGGATAAATGCAGGAAATAGCTATGTACTTTTAACTTTTTCTTATTATATCATTCAAAATTGCTTTGTATTTAAATGACATTGCTATAACTTGGTATATTTTTTAAAGTACAATGTTGTAATAGGAAGAAATTAAAGTAGGATACTATAATAAACAAATACATGAAAGTACATTGCTGTTTTTTGCAATTAACCAAGATTAATATATTCAACCACCTTCAATGCAACAATGTCATCTGCATTATTGTTGATAGATGCCTTGTATACTTGTGCAAATCCACCCTTGCCAGCACATCCCTTGATCTGATACTTCTTTCCACCTGTGAGAGTAGGAATTCAAGATTCCATTATGTGGTGTATTTGGTTGCCAAATGGATGGAATTCAATTCTATTGGAATCCTTCAAAGCCGATTTTTGATGTAAGCGAAAGTAACATTACCTATCTCAATAACCTTATTCCTAGCCGACTTCAGCAAAGATGATAATGCCACTTTCCCTGAGTAACATTTATTACTTGCATGGTATCCCTGACAAATGTAAAAAACGGCTAGTGAAAAAAAAACTCTAGTGCTTATAGGTTATGACATCTAACAATGAATGACCAAAGTTTCATACTGTGTATTTTGATATTTGAGCATTCATCTTTTGCAATAGATTGTTGAGAGTAGAGATTGACCATGGATTCATACAATTTGAACTACTATTAAGAGAAGACCCTCCATCCACCTTCAAATAACCATAATTGACATTTTTAAATATTATAACCATATTTAAAGAGCAAACTCATAATAAAAAGAAAAAAAGAAAAAAGAAAAAACTGTTTCAAGCATCATATCATAGTCATAGATACCTTCTTATGTGAACAAGCATCTATTATTGCTTGCATTCTCTCAAGAAAATAGGCATGTGCCTTCTTCAACTTCTCTATTGGTTCAGCATTCCTATAACAAAACTTGACATTATACCCATTAGCAATGAAAACCATTAAGAGAGAATAACAATTTAATTTTAAATTATAAAAAATTATAACCCCTTGGTCATAAGATTAGAGATAGATATGATATAAAGAGGAGAATATTGTAAGGACCTTGAAATGCCTGACTGATACACTAAATGAGCCTCATTCATCATTCCCTTTGCTTCCAAGAACAATGCGTATGACTCATATAGCAAAGCTTTATCCAAACAAATTTTAAGCTGTTCAATTTCCCTGAAAACAGCCTCGTAGTTTGGACTAAAATCCATCTGCAAACACAAAAGCGCTTTTTTTGTTTTATTACAGAGAAATTTTTCTGTGATGATAAATGAATCATGAATGTCTTACCCACAAATTATTCCAAGTTAAAAACTACACTAAGCTTTATAAAGGGCAATGCAGATAGGTAAATCATAAATCCAGTGTTAATTTGTTCATATACATTGCTTAAATTTTGTATGTCAAAGTGATGCCTTGACATCAAGCAATAAACTATATCACTTCACTTGGAGCTAATGTAGTGCATCCATATAGACAGAGAAAAAGAGGGAAACGAGATTACATATATGAGCCAAATCTTGAGAAATCTGATATCGTTTCGATATTCCGAACCATGCTTAAAGGTTTTGATGCAGTGAGATACAAGTTCGTATACATCCGCCCCATCATTTTGGGATAAATCCAACTTGTCTAGGGCTGCTTTAATCGACCTATCAGGGCAAAGTAAAAAAAACACAGAAACTGAGTTGTCTGTGAAAAAGGTAGAGCGAAACATATCATTTTCATTTACAATTAATGTCCAGCATCCGTGAATCAAGTGTGTTACGAGATTTTGGTTGATTTACATAAACTGGGGGTTGTTTCGAGCAATTTTCTTTTGCGAAGTAGCCTCTAAATTGATGTGGAAGGAGTAGTAAGCTAAAAGAGATGCGAGTTACCAGAGATGTGGTAAAAGAGGATCTTCCCTGTAGACGGCACCGTTCGCCGGAGCTCTGGAAGTGACTGCCATATGATTCGCCGAAGATGTTGAAAAGAGTGAAAATCCAAAGGGGCGCGGAAATGAATAATTGAATGAAAATATTCAAAAAACGTGCATAGAGGAACATCATTATCATTATTATTATTATTATTATTATTATTATTATTATTATTATTATTATTATATTATTTATTAATTGAATGAAATTTTAAAACAAATTAGGAAAATGACCATTTTTTGAACAAGAATCCAAATGACCACGCAATACCACTTCATAAAAAAAATCAAAAAAAAAAATCTATCATTTTTTTCGGAATTACTCAAAAGGTTAACCAACTTTTAAGTTTATTTATATTTTATCATTTTTTTTTACCTAATATATTATCGAGCTTGTGTTTGCTATAATTTTTTTGACAGGCTATCATCTATGATAACCGGTCATAAGGGTATGGTGAATACAAACAACAAGTTTGATGATATATTGAATACAAAAAAAAAGACAAAATGTGAACAAATTCAACAATTAGTTACCCACCTGAGTCATTTTCTCCACAAAAGTTAAATAAAATTAAAGCTACAATAGTATCAAAGACTGCAACCTTCTTAGATCATAACATATATGAAGAAGGTTTCAAAGGAGTAGCTTGGTCAAAATAATGGTTGTGCTATGCCTATTGTGATTATGTCACACCC